GGCTACTCGAAAACTTCGGTTCCCAAGCCCGTCAATCCCCGTGAATCCCCGTGAAGCCAATCCCATCCGCCGACAACACAACGAACTGGACGCTCGATTGGTAAGAGCCATATTCGTCCTGTGCAACTGAACTGAACTGAACTGAAACAAAACCCATTGACCTGTAGTGTCGGAAGCCACAACACCAGCTAACGGCACATCAGTTTGAACGCGCGATTCGCCTTGGTCACATATCTTTATGTGCAAACTGAACTGAACTGAACTGAACAGCTTGGCCAAGGTTGTTTAAGGTGGTGTTATTCTTCAAGGGTACTTTTTTGGCGGGATTTTTCAGACGGAGTGACGTGAAGAAAATTACTTGTAAGTTGGCTGGTTGTTGCCCGTGCGTAGGTTGATTCACCTACATTACTCGAAGTTAGCTCCTAACTATGTTCTAAATATTTTTCAAACCCCTCAGACTATGGGTCAGGTGTTCGCCAGTCTGTTTAGCCGATTCTTCGGGAAGAAGGAAATGAGGATTTTGATGGTCGGTCTCGATGCCGCTGGAAAGACCACTATCTTGTATAAGTTGAAGCTCGGGGAAATAGTTACCACCATTCCGACTATTGGGTTCAATGTCGAAACTGTGGAATATAAAAATATCAGCTTTACGGTTTGGGACGTCGGTGGACAGGATAAAATCCGCCCTCTCTGGAGACATTACTTCCAGAATACCCAAGGTTCGTTCCCTTTATTTGTTTATTATGGTATAGGTTTGATTTTCGTTGTGGATAGCAACGATCATGAGCGAATCGGAGAGGCCCGTGAAGAGCTCTCGCGAATGCTTAACGAGGACGAGTTGAGAGATGCTGTTCTCCTAGTTTTTGCCAACAAACAGGTATGCCATCTTGTTAAACTCCGTTTATACCAATTTCAAGGATCTTCCCCAAGCAATGACTCCAGCTGAAGTAACGGAAAAGCTTGGTCTGCATACGCTACGCAACCGTGTTTGGTTTATACAAGCTACATGTGCCACCGGCGGAGCGGGTTTGTACGAAGGATTGGACTGGCTTAGCACGACTCTCAGTCAACGCAATTGAAGTCCACCAAAAAAACACTCCGTGATAGTGCTGTGAAGTAGTGAATTCTGTTTTCGGATCTCTTCTGGTTCCCATATCTGGTATATTCTCTTGGTTATGCGACAGATCTGGCCATTGTTGTTCTGCAAGACTTTCAAGCAAGAACCCGCGTGATTCTGTGAACCCAGTCGCATAATCTATTTGTGCTGATCAGACACCATATACAGAATCCACTACAATTGAATTTATACTGTTTTGTTGCGTGCTACCGTTGTGACTACGTCATGATGTTCCATGTTATTTCTGAATGATAGTCATCATCTCTGTTGTGTAATTATGTACATGCAAAACTAATACAACGCACCACCATTGCCTCGTCAAGGCTTACTTTATAGGTCTCTTGAAGAGATTCGGTGCTCTGAATAGCCCATGACGTTTTAGATGCATCAAAGCGGCGTCAAGGAATTGAGATACCATGTTCATTATATGACGACTGAGAAACTATTACTCTAAGGCCAAATTGGTTTTAATGATTTGGCTGTTATAAAGATCTTCACTGAGACGTTTCACCTTCGGTGCTACTGTTCCCATCACCTTCATTACGGAGCAATGAGTGGAGCTTCGATGCTGAACTCAGTACAGTAACGTGGTTAGATAGTGAAAAAATCCGGTGAAACTTGATGATGGTCATTGAGCAAGTACATTCACCAGTCTGGATCAACACTGATACCGCGGCACGGATATCTTAGTAAGTGTGAAACGTATTCGTAATTTTTCTAGGTTTAACGTCCCGGTTGTTCAAGTCAAGTCAAGAAAATACGCAGGTGATTTTCACGGTTTCTAAATGGATACTTTTGTTTCAAATATCACTTATAAACATTTAGGAATGTCCATTAGCCACAGTTCAGTTTTTACAGCCCTAACCATGCGTTATCGTCTGTCGGTTTTGGTTGCCAATCCTATGAGGAGCAGTATGAATATTTGTATTTTGTGAGCAGAGTCAAAGAGAGGATAGAGAATTCAGATGAAATAGAGTTACAGAAGTAACGATTGAATGCATGAGCATCACCGGGACGTTTTTGACGATGATAGGCACCTCCGGCGTAAGCACTGGAACTTGAAATGACGAATTTCAGAGAGCCCCCAAAATAGGCGTGGTTTTCTATTGAACACATTCATGTGGTGAACAGCAGACGAGGAGAACCCCATAGTCACGAAGACCTACTATTCCGTCATGGAAACCGGTAACTTAAGCCCCGTGGCGAACCACAAGGCACCACTAGGTTAGGCGTGGTATTGAACCGGATGACAGCAGAGGTGGGTGGCGGTAGCGGGGTTCGAACCTCGGACTATAGTCCAAAGCACATCAGTAACCGCGACTAAACCACTGCGCAACCACCACTCCAGTGGTGAGTTGAGATTTACTGCTGGACCGAATGAATCCGATCGTATTGATAGTTTCAGTACAGGTCTGGTTGCACAGGACCGATAATGGTCACGGCCAATCAACCGTCGTACTACCCTTGACCGTGCACTTTCGTTTGCTTGTTTTGGTTCCCAATTTGGATGAGATAGAAGGTGGGAGAATTGTAAGTACAGTCAAAGGGAGAATAGGTAATTCCGATAGATTTAGATTGCAATGATGATGAGCAGATGCACGGTCATCACTGTTTACCACAGCCATATCACTCAGTTTCTCTAACCATGGACTACAGTGATCCCGTCTTCCCCATCCAGCGAGCCTAATGCGACCTATGTCTTCGAGTTTCTTCTTTAGGCTTTTCATACCCGCATACCAGGTTTCAGTTTGACCATCCTCTTCCTTCTCCACCCCCAACCTGCCTCGACAACACTGCGCTATGAGATGTGTAACACATGCCCCAACCAACGTGATTTATGGAGGTCGACCACTTGTTCCATTGGGCGACCGTGGTTACTTGAAACTGCTTACTCTAACTGGGGAATTGATAGAGAAAGTTTATTTATTTATTATTCGGGCGACTATATCACCCGGTGGACACATCACGGATGAAGTGTCAGCTCGCAGAAGACTCGATTGGCACTTGCCAACTTGAGACCTGTGACGTCACCGCGACACCTTGGTGTCCGCGAAGGGTCAGTGTATGCTATGGCAGTTCGGCCATACGGCACAACAGCTTGGCCAATAAGAAAACAGGATACAGATAGACTGGCGGTATTCCAACACCGCTGTCTACACGGCATTCTACGAATCTGATGGGGCAACCGGATGAGCAATGATGAAGTTAGGTGCAGAGATTTAGGTAACCGAGGGCACCCAATGAAACAAGTGGTCGACCTCCGAAGATGACATTGGCTAGGACATTTTTACGCATGTCACCAAATAGGTTCCCACGGTGCGCGATGTTTGCCGATGCAGGCAGTGGATGGAAAAAAGCCTAGGGTGGTCAAAATAAGATCTGGAACGAAGGTATGAAAATCCTAACCAGCGGTTTTGGTCTCATAGGTCCCCTTAGGCTCCCTGGATGATGATCGTAACCGGTGGTTAAAGACAGTGTCGCAAACAACGGCATCCGTGCATCTCAACCCTAGTCTACCGACATTCTCCATTTTCTCTTAGACTCTACTTCCCGGTCTTTTTCCTACTGTTTCATCCAAATGGGCAGTCGAAAGACAGCAACCAAAACCGACGCAAGAAAGTGTATGATTAATGGTTATACAGACCGAAATTTGAACTTAACCTTGATACTGCTCTCCCCGTTACCTATCAGACTCATGCAATGCGTAGACAGTGGTGTTCGAACACCAACAGATGATTTTTATTCTTCAATGGTGAAGTCTCCACACCGCAAAGCGGCACTGGCCGAGCTACTGCAGCATAAATTCGCTCTCACAGAATTCAGGATTTTTTCAACTCAGACCACTAAACCTCCATCTTGAAAAATCGATGGAGATAGCCCATTTGTGCCGGAGGCCTGATGACTCGTTTTACTGAAAGCCCATTGCAGCTGGAAGACAGGCATTAAATGGGAGTTTTCACCCAGTCCAGGTGGGGGTTAGCAGGTTTAGTGTCAAGGGTTAGTTGAACTGAGTCTCGAAATGTTCGACCCATGTTCAGCATCTACCCACTGAATTTCCACGCATGGATTTGCGGCTGTGAGGAGCCATTTTGTATAGATTGTAGGGTCATGGAGCCACGCAGGCCGTCACATCGCTTCAAGGTGCTGTCCCTTAATGAATCTGAAACTACTTTATCTCAAATTGAAGACGAGTCATCGGGCATGGAGACCTTAGCCTCTGTGAATTCTCTTCATTTACTTTGACATTGATTTGAATGTTCCAATCTTCCCTTCGCATCACCCCGATGGAAAACCGTAAGGCAGCAACAAAACCCGGCTCACCGAAGTGTATGGTAATGTTTGTAAAAACTGAAATAAACTGACCGTTTGCAAGCCCCAATACCGTACCACCGAAAATGATTAATTTGAATTTGCATCCAGAATACGTATCGACTGTCTCAATCATACGAAAAAACCAGTTTGACCGGTATATATGTATGAATGTTTCTCTTTGTGCATCAAATTAGTCAGATTCAATCAACGGAGAGAGGTAAATGCGCAGCTTCCAACCTTTGGTTAGAAAACGATCCAGAATGGAATCAATCCAATGTCATAGTGGTGTTTTGTATTTAAAAGACACTAAGCAAAACTGTTGACGTTGAAAGAATTAAGAAAAGTTTACATATTTTAGGCCAGGCAACGTATCTCGCTTTGTTTCGGTATCAGTGTGCTCCTGAGCCTCCGGGTTTTCTGGTCTTGTGTATTCAGACTAGATTATACATTCTGATGAGAATCGGAATAAATTTCAAGCTTTACTCCATCGTTTTAGTGTCAGTATACCTATTTGCATCTTACGTTTTGGAACTCTTGGGTGATTAGATTGCTCCAGCTCCCTACTCTAGCTGGGGAAGCGTTAGACAAAGAGCAAACAAGTCTGGTTGTTTGGGCAGCTGGGTTCCACTTTTAGGACGAAGTTTTGACGCGTGCAGAGGGGCTCCACTGGTGTTTACCAAATTTGGACATCAATGAAGCTGCTGTGGTATCCGCCTGTTCGTAAAGGATCAGGTGTGCTGCAGCTTTTAAACCGGTGCAGTGACTTGGTCGTCATGAAAGAATGAAAACTACCGGTTTTCGAATACCGCCCTCCACTTCCTGTTGAATAAACCTGGTAGGACAACCGGAAAAGCAGTGCCGAATTTAAGCATAGTATCAGACAGTCGCGACCACTGGAGCAAGTGCGTGACTTCCACGGTTTAAGTCTACTCGGGAGTGTCATGCATGTCACAAGCTAGGCACCTTCAACGTGCTCAGTACATTGATNNAGGTGACCGAGCTTATACCTGGCATGAAGGTACATCCGACGGACGTAGACACGTGGTGCGTGTTAGGCTTCCCGGTTGATGACTTTGAGATCAGTTCCATCGATGGTTTTGGTGGTATGTCCTCCATCTTAGTCATTCATATTTCGTCGGTTTGTCAAAGATCAAGCTTAGTGTAGCAGGTCAACTTGTGTCTCAAAGGACAGGAGTGAACCACAAAGTATATCGAATGAATGGGGAAGCAACGGAACACTGCATTTTATCACTGGGCAGCACCAAGTCAACGTTTGCTTGTACGTAGAACTGTACCTAATTTTTTGATGGCCACTGCCTCGAATGTGCAAGGCTTCTGTCCAGTCATGTATCGTAGCACGTCGCCTAAATTAGGTTAACGAGTCTCACTGAAGTGGGATGAGGACTCCCAAGTGCGGCGGAATAAGTGGTTCGGGCTGGTCGTTGTTTGAGGTTCTCGCCGTCTAGAATATCTGGATTAAGGATCACTTTCGCCACTTAGGATGGACGATCCATTAAATTTTATTGTGTCCAAGCGAAAAAGAAAGACTACGTGTAATATCTTACGGAATGCTCCTCTCGCAAAGCCTCTCCGTTCATCGGGGTCCTAGCTCCACGAAAGGGAGGTCAGCTTCTCTCACCTCATCCATAG